GGGAGGAGGGAGAAGAGAGGGGAGGAGGGAGAAGAGAGGGGAGGAGGCAGAAGAGAGGGGAAGAAGGAGGAGGGAGAAGGGGAGAAGGGGAGGAGAGGAGAAGAGGAGAGGGGAGAAGGGAGGAGAGGGGAGAAGGGAGAAGAGGGAGAGAGAAGAGAGGAGGAGGAAAGGGGAGAGAAGGGAGGGAGGAAGGAGGAGAAAGAATGTGGAAGGAAGAAGTGAGAGAAAAGGGGGAAAGGGGGAGGGAGGTGAAGGGAAGGAGGAAGATGAAGGTACTATATACACTACATAGACAGGGAGGTTCCCATAATGGGGGCCGGGGAAAGAAGGGTAGAGATGAATTAATGAGGTAGTAACAGCATTTGAAAGGGCAACGAGAAAATCATAATGGCTGGGAACAGAGGTCAGGAGTTGGAGCTGATCTCAGAAGTAAGGGCAACAGCTCAGGGGACAGGGGAGTGTGATGGGGGGGCAGTTCAGTAAAGGAGGGAAAGACGAAGAGAAAAGGAAGGAGAGAGAGGGAAGGAAGAAAAGTGGGAGGAAGAGAAACAAGGAGGGAGAGAGAAGAAAGGAAAGAGAGAAGGAAGGGAAAGGAAAAAGGAAGGAAGGAAGGGAAGAATAGGAGAAAAGGAAAAAAAGGAGGAAAAGTAGGAAAAAGAGGAAGAGAAGGGAGAGAAGAAAAGGAGAAGGAAAGAGGAAGAGGAGAGGAGGGGGAGAGAAAGAAGGAGGGGAGAGAAGGAAAGAGGGAGGGAGAAAAGGAAAAGGGGAGGAAGGGAAAGAAAAAGGGGAGGAAAGGAAAAGGGGAGGGAGAGAAGGAAAGCGGGATGGAAGAGAGAGAAGGAAAGAAGAAAGAGAAGAAAGAAAGAAGGGAGAGAAGGAAAGAGGGAGGGAGGGAAGGAGAGAGGGAGGAAGGCAGAAGGGAGAAGGCGTGAAGGAGCGCAGGAGCAGGTGCGGCCCTCGGAGGGCCGGGGACCAGGGACCAGGGGGCCAGAGCTCGGCGCCAGACAAGCCACAAGCAGTGCTTCAGGGCCAGGGCGGGCTGAGCTCGGGCAGGAGCCGACCAAGCGCCCGGGGCTGCGGGCCGGAGGCGGCGCTGCGGGGCCTGTGCTCACCTGTCCGGACACGCTCCGCTCCGGCTCGGCTGCGCGGGGCTCGGGCTGCGCCGCAGCAGTTACGCCAGCCGCCGCTCAGGCTGCTCAGGGTCCCGGTTCCGCACGCGGTAGCAACCCCCTGGCCCCGGCGGCCGCAGAACCTTCCCGGACGCTCCACACACCCACCCACCCCGGACACGCCCCCGTTGCCTCCCATTGGCCCAGATCAGGGGGCGGGGATTCCTTGGGGGTCTCTCCGCCACTCGAAGAGAGGGGTGGGAGGGCCGTGTCGCGGGATGAGGGCGTGGCTAGAGCCTCAGGCCTGGGGTCTAGGCCCAATAGGCGGGCTCCGGGGCGAGAAATAAAGGAAAGGCGACTCCATTGATGGGCGGGGCTTCGGTGGCTACAATGTAGCCTGGTTTGGAACGCTGCGTCACGTGGAGGCGGGCGGGGGCGCGGCTCCCCTCTGGGTGCTCTAGGACAGCAGGACGTGCGGCCGAAAGGTGCATGGTGTACCCCGCGTGTACTAGTTCTTCGCGACCGCTCAGACCTCCCCGGACGACTGTGGGAGGCTGCCGGCGAGCACTGCCGCGTGGCTGGAGCACTGGGGCACCGCTGTTAGCACAGAATCTGCAGCTGGAAAGGACCTTAGAGCTCCTAGGACCAGAGATTCGGAGCTGGAGACTCTACCCTTCCAGGCCGTCTGGCCCACTTCCACCCCCATTTTGCGGACCGTCAGTCTAGGGGTTCTTAACCTTTTCTGTGTCCTGGACCCCTTAGGCAGCAATCTGGTGAAGCCCATCGACCCCTTCTCTGGATAGCGTTTTTTAAATACATGAAATGCATAGGATTAACAAAGGAAATCCAGCTGTCAAAATATTTTTCAAAAACTCACGGACGTTAAATGAAGAACTCCTGGTCTAATCCAACCTCATTTTACAGAGAAGGAAACAGGTGGGGATGGGAAGGTGACAACTTCCCCTGAGCCTCAGTTTCCTCATGTCCATAATGATGCCCGTGGTAGCTTCTGCACAGGGTTATTGTGAGGGTTCAATATTCAATGTAAATAATCATTACTAGCATTTGCATAGTGCTTTAAGTTTGTAAGTCACTTTACAAATACCTCCTTTTAATCTCACAACAATCCAGGGAGGCAAACTGTCCCCATTTTACAGAAAATAAAAATGCAAACCTTTCTTAGACTGTGAACTCCTTGAAGACAGGAGCTTTTTTTTTTTTTTGCCTCTCTTTCCCCACTCAGCGTTTAGCAAGCACAGTGATTGACACTTAGTAGGCACCTAACAAATGTTTCTGGACTTGAAAGCATTTTATAAACATCAGCTGTTGTTATAATTATCATTGTCCAAGGTCACACAAAGAGAGACAGAGAGAGGGAGAGAGAGAGGGTAGAGATTTGAACCCACTGTGCCCAGACTCCAGCTATAGTGGGGGGTTGGCCCTTTTATCTTCTAGTCCTTTTAATATGTGTTGTTCACCTCCTGCCGCCCTGCCCCCATACCCACGGGAAGCAGACGGCTTTGTCTGTGTGCTTACAGCAGTAAAAGATAGTCTCAAAGACCCCGCCCCACCCCACCCCACCCCACCCCCGTCAACGCTGTGATGCTGGGGAAGCAAACTCGTTCGATTAAACCCTTGAAGGTCTAATTCTAGAACCATAGAATTTAGAGCTGGAAGGGGCCATAGAGACCACCTGGTCTAACCATTTTCCAGATGAGGAAACCGAGAAGGTTGAAATATTTGGGCAAAGTAACACACAGGTGACAGATATGGGACTTAAACCCAGGTCCTGTGATGACAAATTCAACGTGTTCTCTCTGCTGCATCGCACTGCCTCTCCCACATTTGACAGATGGGGAAACTGAGCCCCGACCTTAGCCGAGTGACCCCACCAAGATCACATAGGTAACAAAAGTCAGGCTCTTTGGAGTCTGTGGCTTAAAATGCAGGTTTTTTTCCACTGCCGGGCTAGTGCGATGTGGAAAGCGGCTCCGAGGCAAAGGTGAGCCCCACCCCACCCCCCGAAGAAACACCCGGGCAGAATCTTGAAAGAGGGAGGGAATTTAGATTGGCCGAGAAGAGCCGAGTGGACCCAAGTCAGTGGAGGGAGGAGAGAACTCTGGGAAGCGGGAGGAGGAAACAATACCAAGGCTGCATGGGACTAGCTGAACAGAGCTCTGGCTTTTGTACGTAGAAGGCGCTGGGCGAGGTGAATTGGATTGAAATCTCATTTTACGAGTTCAATCGAATTACTGGGCAGCTCAGGCCGCCCTGTGCTTGCAGTCCCAGTCTCTGAGGCTAAACAGAATTCGAATATTCCCCTTCCACAGGACAGCCATTCAAACGCTTGAAAACAACAGCATGGACACCTTCAAAACAGGTCAGTATCTGGAGGCGGGAAAGTCTGAGTTCAAATCCTCCCTCAGACACTGGCTGCTTGACCCTGGGCAAGTCACTACCACTCTCTACCTCGAAGTCCCAGGTTCCCCACCCCTGACTCCCAGCCTCAGTGTTTTCATCAGTAAAATGGAACTCCAGTAATAAAATATGTGAAGCGCTTTGAAAATTAAAACATTCCATAAATGTTTGTTTTTGCTATTATATGTTTATTGTGTGTGTGTGTATATACATATATATATATGTAATATGTCTATTGCTATTATTTTCTTATTTTCTCCTTTCAGGGAAGTCTCTGGAAAGGCTTACGGTTCAGAGGGGTTGATGGGGTACACCTGTCTGTCATCCAGCAGTTAGCCTAGCTAACTTCATCAATCCATCAACAAGTATTTACTTATTCATTACCCGGTTGGCCTCAAGGTAACGAACTTTTTGATCACTGTAAAGAGAAGTCAGGGCCAATTCCTATAGAAGGTGAACGCAGACTTGCCCTTTCAACTGGCACTTTTCCAGGGGAGGGTGACCAGAAGGAGAGGGCAAGACACCAGACACTGCACTGAACACGAATCAGTGAAAGGAACAGGGCGTTCTTAGCCTGGAGAAGGGGAAGATTCAGGGGAGGGACCTGAGGACTGTTCGGTTGTTTATTTGAAAGGGAATATTAAAATTCTACAAGAACTGGAAACAATGGGTAGAAATGGATGTGCTGAAAATTTAGGCTCGGTAGAATCAGTTGTGGAAGCAATCATTCAATCAACAAATACTAATGTAGCACCTGCTGTGTGCATTGCAGAGAGACCGGAGTGAAACAATCCCTGTTCTCAAGTGCTTGCCTTCTACACTAAGAAAAAAACTCCTTAACAAATAGACGGTCTGTGGATTGGGCTGTCTCCAAAGGGAATTTGTTAACTCCCTATCTTGAGACCTTCAGATAAGGTCAGGAGGTCCTCTGCAGTCTCTTTCAACTCAGATTCTGAGATTCTGAAGCTAGAGGTTAGCCTCAGGCTTTCTCTCTGTGAAATGGATCTCAAACTCCCATTTCATGGAATCATGAATCTAGGGGAGAAAGAGGGTCATAGAATTGCAGTGTTTTCATAGATTAAGATTTGGAAGAGATCTGGTCCTATAATCTCAGTTAAGTGGCTCGCCCAAGGTCATCCAAGGACCAGAGCCAAGATTCAAATCCAGGCCATATGGAGAGCCCTTTCTAAGGTACTGTCTCGTTTTTTATTTTAAATAGCTTGTGCTTCTTTATTCCTTCTAAATCATCTTCGCTTCTCTTTGCTCTGAGATGCTAATGAGGTGATGCAGATGTGTCTGTGAAAGGGACAAAGGACTAGTAGTCACAATGTGCCTTGAAGGAGAGTGGGGGGAGGTCTTATCTGTGGGAGAGGCCTCCTGCTCCCGGAGCTGAGACCAGAAGCCTTAGGAAGCTGGAAAACGTTTCTCCCCCGAGCCCCCAGGGTATGCTGCACACCATCAGTAAAAGGTAAACAGCAGCTCTGTGATTCTGCTGTGGTTACTGACTCTCAAATCACAAATCAATACTGTTGAGATGGGAATTGATAGATTCTTTCCTCTACAGGCCATCTGTCCAGGCCCCAAACATCAGGCTTTCCTTGGCCAGCCCTTGCCCACCCCTGCCTCCATACCTCTGCCTACCCACTGAAGAGAGGACACTTGGGCCCCATCACTCCCTTCTTAAATAACTTAATAACTTAAATAATAAAGTGGAGTCCTCTCTCTACCACCAGCAGTAGAGAATACCAGGACTCCTACTTTCTGATCTGAGTTTTGACTCTAAACACTTTCAACAATCCCACTTTCTCCATGAAGCATTCCTGGATTGATCTTCTATCCCAGAGCTCATCCTGGCAGGCCCGTCCCCTAAACTACCAGTACATGTCCTGTATAACCCAAGGCCTAATGGATAGGGTGCCAGCTTTGGAGTCCAGAAGAGACCAGATGAAATCCTTCCTCAGACACTAGCTATATGATCTCCTACCCCAAGCAATTCATTAAGTGCTCTGTGCCTCAGTTTCCTCATCTGTAGAATGAGGGGGTTGGACTCTATGGCCTCTAAGGTCCATGTAACTATAAATCTAGCTATAAATGATCCTATGGTTCCCCCAGTTGTTACTGTCTCCTGCCCCCCACACAGAAAATTACCTTGTAGATGCTGTATATATTCATTTATGTGGGTATATCTAATCCTCCCTATTAGATTGTGAGCTCGCAGAAGGCAGGAACTGTTTCACTTTTAATCCCCTCCCTCTCCCGCACCCCCGTCTCCTCCCCTCCTCCCCTCCTCCCTCCCTCCTCTGTCCTGCTCCATTCCCAAGGACAGGGCCCAGCGCAGGGTAGGTGTGTAATAAATTCTTGTTGGCTGATCCCCAGGGTCATTGGAGAGCTCAAAGCAGATGATGTAGATAAAGTGATTTGGAAACTTTAAAACACTGTAATAATGTCGGCTACTGTCATCCAGTGTCACATAAAGTCCATATAAGGTGATCTTGCCAAAAGGCTCTTTAGGAAGCCTGGGGAACTTGGGTAGGTATGTCTGGGTCAGCAGCTCACTCCTTCCTCTCGTTTGCCCATGTGACAACTCCATCAGACCAGGGGCTACTCTACCCCCTCAGATGATGGATGAGGAAAAGAGAAGGAATGG